ATGATTAGATCCAGTAGGAAAGGAGTTACGACTGAAAAGTACGGCTGAAGAACCATTCCACTGAAGACTTTTGAGCGCTACTGTAAGTGTAACTCCTCGTTGAATCCGAAGCTGTCCCTGAATTAACCTACAAAGGGTACACAAGATAGTGCAGTTAGGACAAACCCTCACTCTTATCTTTTTCCACCTTTTTCTCATGACCTCATCTTTCCACCCTCGGTCTATTTAGTATTTCGTGGTATAGAAAGCTCGAAATATACTGGGGCAGCTCCCAAAAAAAGATGATTTACGCTAACACTGCGATGGTATTTTACCGTTTTGTAAGAAGTACCAGTATGGCGACTAGTCCGACACGTAAGTCTTTTCTTACATTTCATGCCCAAAGGAGCATTCCTGTGGGGCACAGGCTTACATAGGGCCCATTCAAAATTTTCTAAAGCGGTAAAAAAGTCAATAGGAGCCGTTGTCGCCACATGTAAGCTAGGTAACCGGCGTAGTAAGTAGGGCTGTAGGCCAGGAAGGAAGCCTAACCATGAATGCCCCCCCCCCTAACTTTGGCTAACCTGTGTATGAGATTGTTGAGTCTCCCACCCGTCTTATGGGTTTACGCCATGAGCTATACTTGCGTTAGTTTTTTAACATTCCATGACTTCTTCAAAGGCATCAAAAGCGCTCATTGCGAAGGTATTACGTGTGTCCCACATAGTAGTGTTAGGAGTCCAGTGAGTAACAATTTTACCTGATTCAGAGCCACTGTCCGAGTTGTAGTCATACGTCGGACTTGTTACAGTACGCGTATTGAAGTTGCCTGAATTCCAAAAATGAGTCACATGATGACCACGCTATTTGACGAAATAAAATGCCAGTAATTCCAAATATTTCCGGCGTCACAATTTTGCACATTCACAAGTAAAATATTTGACATTATAACTTAAGGCAAATCCCATGAAAACCAGATATTGAAAACCAGATACCAGGCATTTCTACCCAGGCAAAATACTGTTTGGAGGCTCCACACCCCTGAAATGTACTGCGTAGCTGTGATTGAGCCAAATGATGAAGAGACGGGTGAGATTTTGAGGACGTGTGTAAGCCGTGAACTTTGATAACGCCGCATTTCCCAAATGAGAGTTGACCTATGTCCGCCAGTTGGGCCTACATTGGTCTTGCCTGCGTTTGGAAACACCGTTTCCGGACCTACATAAGCCGATATTTGTCTTTGTCGGGAAAGGAACACGTCACAATGTTGGCTGACTGGCAATAAACTGGAAGGATCTGCTGGCACAGCGAAGCCTGTTGGGTCTATAACCAATCTCTTGCAAAGATCCATTAGTAACACTATAAACTGAACCACCGAACCGCCCCATTTTCTCCTCCTCGAATGCAGATTTTCAGTGGAGTTCTCTACTCCACGTATCCTTGACAATCATTCCACTCTGTGTAGTCGCAAAGTATTGGGCTTGCGTCCCCGATCAGGCTCATTGTTGGACCCTCTGCGCCAAAATTCCATTTGAAACCGCGTACATAGCCCATACTAAGACTTGTGAGGGCCAACCAATTCGAAGTCAGTGCACTCATTTTCTGCTTATTCCACACCGTGGAGATGGAGGATGGATGAGCTCGGGCTGTAACTTGCCGTAGTTTAACCACCGGTCCACACGAATGATAGCGCTTCCCCTCGGCATTACCGCCTTCACTTTCCCCATCCTTCGCCCATCACGATTTTTATGCCTTTTTACCTTTTCAGGAACGGAACAATGACATAGAAGGTGCTGCTTCCTTGAAGGGTGGAAGGGGGGGAGGGGTTACACTTTGATCAGTGGACAGACCAGTGTATACTTCAGGAGAATCAGCCAAACAAGTATGAATCAGTACAACTCACACCACACATTTTATAATCATACCCATAAAATCTTATTCAGAATCTAGTCGGGTAGAAAACGGGAATATAAACCTAGTGAATGAATTCGAATTCGGCCAACAACACAGTCATTTTGCTAGACGATTCCGAAACGCACAAGACTTCTGATTACCCCATGTGATGGTAGTTGTAAACGAATTTTGTACCAGTAGCTGACTCACAATTTCATAAACATACTCAAGTACCTGCTCATGCACGTTACCTGGACGATACCGGTTGAGGACAGTCAGAGGTTTGATCAACCCTCACACAGTTCTATCCCAACAAAAAATGTAGAACTCCTTTGAAGCCACCACGAAGACTGGGTGATGTGGGCGCAGAGAGAGAGTTTGGTTGCTTAGGGTCAGGTAATCATTACCAGTAACAGATACTTTGAAAGTAGTAACGTGGTAAGGATTGACTCGAAGTCCGTTCCTTCAAATGTTTTACATGACTGGTTCTCGTAACCCACTAAACATGTGCGTTTTCGGGATGGATGCGCTCGAAAACGGCCATTACTGTCTGGTTTGGGGTATCCTTGGTGTTGACAGCTCCATTCACCTTCAAGTAACAACGTGGTAATCTATTATGCCGATTCAACTGTCCCATCACCATTTTGACACTGCGCGGTAGCCCGTTATCGCCTATTTGTAGATGACATCACCCCTGGGGAACCAAGCCTCAAGAGGCTCTCAACCACTGATGGACGATCCGGACAGGACGGGAAGGAGATGGCGGTATTCCCCAGAAGAGAGCATCGGCTCATGGTCCCTTTCTCTATGATTTGGCTGGTTTTCTATTAATGAAGACCTCAGAACCTTCTGAATAGGTAGTAAAGGACCGACCACATTCGTCCACGAGGAAGACGATTTTTTCGCCATATTCTTCCGGGATGGAGTCCATTCAAACCAGGTCAAATTTTGTTTCGACGAACCAGAAGTTGGTCGGAGTACGTATCCATTGACGCTCCCAAATTTCGGGAATTTTCCATGGGAAGGCTATTTCCTGTAGAGACCTCGCTATGGCTCCTTCCTGTAGAGACCTCACTCTGTCAACGAAGCGACTCTACCTACTGCCCACTGCTTGTCATCCTTCGGCAAATATCGATACTGACTACAGGTTGAAGTTTTGGGTTTTCATTTAACTCGATATTGATAGTAATTAATAAAAATTAGGGATAGTACAAATTCTAACCTACATATAACAAAATGGCAGTAAACTAAGTAAACTAACCGTCACCGCGGTGATATTCGATTGATCGACTTGTGCGCAGCATAGGTAACCCACCACAAGGGCCGTGAGCTGAAAAGAAGAAAAAATCATTTGCGTAAGTAATACCAAGTAATACTAATACAAGTAATACTCAGTAAGTGACCACTTGCTTAAAATTGATAGTACGGTGAGAAGGATCAAGCCATAAAAGTCGCAGCAGCTACACAAAAGAGCGTCAAATGGGGGGTGGGTCCATAAGCGTGTCGTTAAATTCGAGTTTATTGATGCGCCGTGTCTCGAGGGCCCTGCGCACTGAAACTAATGGGACGGCGTCGGAGGAGAGTGATAAAGCGCCAACATTTATGACATGCAAACAATGTTAGTTCCTTTTCTAGACTTCCTATTACTAACGCACCTCCGAGTAGCCAGTAAACAAACAAACAAAATTAAACATTAAGGTGAGTTTTCTTTGCTTGAATTTCTAGGCCTCTCGAGCTCTCAAGTAGCCTAACACCCCGTCATATGGAGCTCTGTGTTTACCTCGACGATTATGGTTTTGGGGCTTCAGGACTGCTCCCAAACTGCGGTCATACTTGACGACTGGCGAAACCAGTCGACTTACTTATCCCTACTCTGGAGCAGTGGTATCGGGAGAACGTACCCACATTCACGAGAAAGAGGGTCAGGGTAAACGAAGCCCTGTTGACAGAACGAGGTTCATAAGAACTACTACATACTTCTCCGTATTCGCGAAAACACACTTTCCCTCGTTCACCGTTCCCTTGGCCTTTTTTGGAATTGGGTCCCGCAGTTCTGTCGTCCTATGACAGTGATGGACATGGAAACCGGTTGAACACCTTTGTCAATTACGACTGCGGCCCGGCACACCTCCTCACTCCCCTATCGACCTGAACCAAGATTGGGTCGCCTAGTCCAGGTTAGAGATGGCCACACCTTTCACTTGATGAAGAGGCATTTGTATCCGTGAAAACGAGGAAGGGTTCTGGAAAATAATTTGGCGGATTTTCTTAATTTCTTTCGTGTATGGGCTTTTACGTATGCCCCATATCCGCTGCTTTTTTGGACAGGTGTAAAGGGGTTGTGTTGACAGACCCATTTCCGCGACGCCATCTTGCTTTAGTGGCTGTGACCCTACCGCAGGTTAAGTCGAATATCGTTCAAGCCAGGGAAGTGAACGAGAGGCTACTTAGTTGATTCGGCCCATGGGGCGACAGAGGCCTCGGTGCACAGTTGCAGTGGGCGCAGAGAGCGATATTTTGAGTAGTAGTACTAGTAATAGGACAACTATTTAACAGTCACGACACTTTAGTGATCAACTTTGATTGATGAAATGGGTTTAGACTGAATTGCGAACAGCAGACTAAAAAGAATGTTTACACAACAAACAAATTCATGAGAAATAGGGTAGAACCTATGAGTACAAGAAAAGGATTCGCAACGTTCTTGAAAAAATAGAGGTAATGAGAAAACGAGAAAAATCTTCCAAAGTTTCAAGCTTTCGATAGGTTAAACTTCCAAATTTTAAAAGCAAGCTCTGGGTGGGTGCCAGAGTTTATAAGCTCAAAATTTTTTTTCACTGAGAAAAATACCAATGAAACAGATCCCTCCCAGATTTGCCACGAACTCACCCTCCCGATGAGCTGGTTGAAAGATGGGCAACAAGCTGACCCCTTTAACACCCCTCATAGCCCTAGTCATGATACTGGGATGATATTTCACAATATTCTAACTACTCCCTTTAACTTTGATACTTGTAAGTGAAACTTAAGGCAGTTGAAGGCAACTAACGATCTAGAATGATTCACAAGCATGTCCTGCTCGTTCCTCTTTGGAAAAGATTCAAAATTGGAGAAACTTCAGAAGTTCCTTGCAAGGTGGGTGCTTAGTAAGCCAGTACTGTAAGGAATTCAAGGGATTAGTTAGTGAGGTTATTCATAGGAGTTGTAAAACAAAACAAAGTTTGGCGAACAAAGTGCCTATGACATGACACCGGCTGCTTGGTACTTTATCCAAACTTTTGTACAGCGGTACGACTTCCTTGGCCAGACATTATGACTTCAACTCGGTAAAAATGAAATAAAAGAAAAGATATGAAAAATGAAAAAAGGGCAAAAATTGAAAAACGTAGATGAGATACGTAATACTTCCATGTGCGCCGTGCCGGACACCCGGAACAGTCGTTCTCATTGTGAAGTGATGATGATAGGGTCCGCTATCATTGTTACTGCACGCCTTTATCTTAGTATTTGGGGGTAAAGATGGGGCCATGGGTCACAGGTCCCTTCTCCGTTTAGCAAACCCGTGCAGCATATTTTCGACAAGCTCCAAAAATAACAAGACTAACAGAGTGTTACTCTGTAAATACAAACAAACGGGCTTGAACTAATAAAAAAATCAGATTTCGAAAATACTGCTATTTTCCGAAGAATTTTGTTGCAGAAAATATTTCGGAGCACCGCTTGAAGGATACGAAACATTTTGAGGAAGTTGGACGAGTTTCAGTGCAAATTCTCAATTTTTGCCGCTGTTGCTACACGACGATTAAAAGAAATTATGTTTATTTTTCAAGAAATCAGATGTTTTTTGTATTTATTAGACGGGATTGGTTTTCGACTGTCATTCAGTTGCACTTAATTAATCCCTTGAAAAACAAGAAAAGGTGTTCCTGATTTCGGAAATTCGGCTGCAAACTCAGACAGTAAGTCAAGCAAATTAAAACTTTCGGGAGTAAATGGGCCCAGACATTCAAGAAAATAATGGAGGTGGATACAGTATGAAGATCTTTTTTTTATTCATTAATTGTGGATTTGATTGGAAATACAAGCATTTACGGAAAATTCGTAAGAACTGATGAGCATTGATGGCGGCGGTGCCCATGAACTCCACGAGTGGTGAGATAGGGTGCGTCAACCCTTATCATAGGCACCTTTGAGGCGTTAAATTGATTACATGGAAATCTTGAGTGATAAAATTCGAATAGTGTCGAGAATAAGATGGTTACCAACTTTACTAGAATGGCTCAATACTAGTTTTCAAAAAAAAAGCAAAGGGTATGCAGCCAAACGGAGAAACCATAACATAATGGAGCCATGATGAGTCATACGTAAGGTCATGATGAAAGAGCCACTTGAGATGTTCGCAACTATGGAAACAGCGTTTAAAAGCAACGTTTCGAATCGATAATGATGATTTATGCTGAATATTTGCTAAAATTGCAAAAAGGAAACAATAGAAAGAGGATTTCTTCGGGTATGGGAACAGCGAGCAGATGAAGTGGTCCGAAGTAGCGCCACTTTCTCGGAAATGGTCCGGCTCGTTTGCTGATACGCCTAACCCTTCCATACATCCCTCTGGGACTGGTAAAATGGCCAGATCTATCTGGAAAAGAAAAAACTCCCATATTACGTGGTCCCCACCAGCCCAGGCCCAAGACGATTCCAACGCCGCAGCGTTTCTGAATGAAATGGGAATGCGTGGGCGCAACCCAAAACGGGAGCAATGACCCAACGACTTTATCCCTTCTCTTTATAGGGCAAAAAGCTGGATACCACTCGTCATGGCTTTTTACCGATACTCCAGTTTCTTGGGATAAATGGATGGAGAATGAAGAATTAATAGGGTCGTCCTTTCAAAGCCTCTCGAATAAAAATTTGATTAAAACTTGAAAACCCTGAATTGGAAAAGGTAACAAGTACGCTAATATATCAAATACGGATCTATCAATTACTTTGGTTAAAAAAAATTAGTGGGACTGCTAAAACCGGAAAAGTTTGAAAAGTTCACGTTAGTTGTTGCCTTTAAGGGTTGCCGACAAAAGCGCTCCGACGAGTTGATAACCAGTTTTTTTACAACTTTAATCCGAGATCTATATTTCATGGTACTCCACTATCAAGTCCCATCTCTTGAAACTGATTGAAGTCCAATGAAGTCATCAGAGAAGTTTTTCAGTAACCTTTGCTTGATGGATAGATAAGGCTTGCGGAACACCTTTGGAAGTTACCGTCAAAATTAATCATACTTACTTAAATAGGCTACTTGACGAAAAAAGACGATAGAATGAGAAATAACCGTATACTTGACTCTCATCTTCAAGTACCATTCAAGGTAAGACAAACTGACTAATTTAGTGGTTTTGAGATTTTTTTTTCGAATTTATTTACTTCGTTGACAAATTTTGATGTACATGTTGAAATATTGGAGTACAAGTAAGCAAAGGAAGGACTAAACTATAATACATTTTTTTCCAATACAAGTGGTCTTTGATGAGAGTACGGGAGAAGAAGTGTGAATAACTCCAAATACCTTACTGGTGAGCTTTTTTTTGTTTGATTGATAATTGGCTAAATAAACTTTTTCCACGAAAAAGCCTTCCACCGCCTCACCAGGTATCTCCGCCCACAAGCTATATGAAGGCTGTTACGAAGCCTTAAGAAGATCGCAATATATTGAGGAAAGATAAATATTGCAAGTACGGTATCAAAGTAGTAATTGCATGAACTACACAGCGAAAAAGTGCGATGACGAGATGAAGCCAAGGTGGTTACCCCCACCAGACTATTTAGAGGCAGCTGAAGGATAGAGTAGTATAATCCGCCAACAAGGAAGGTTGTCCCACGAGGATAAGATTACTAGCAGCCGTTAAACGGCGTGTGAATATACAACATTTCGAGAAAGATTTGTGGATGCTTCTTCTCCGTAGTTACTAGTAACAACAATATCGATATTATTTGAGTATCTTACAAAAGAAAAATGGAAATGAAAAAGATCCAGAAACAAATCGAACTCACTACTTGAAGTTTTCTTTGAATTCCGTCGCGTTAAAGAGTTGGGTAGTGAGTGTGCCCGCCCAGAAATGTCGTTCTGTAACATGGGAATTCAGCAAAGACTTTACTTTAATAAATGTAATTTGGCATTTTTAACGGACCATTTGAACTGTAGCAATGAAAGTGTGAAATTTCGATCATTAAATTGGTCGTGAATTAATTAGAATTATATACAGTTAAATTGCCATAGCTATGATTAGTTAGAGCTTAACGTTCTCCTTCGAGAAGGACCAGATTGATCCTGGTGTTCTTCCTGAGCGAGTTCATCCACTAGGCTATGATAGTCCTAAATTTTTCACCCAGCTTTCACAAGTACCCTTTTTGCCAGTTCTTATAGGGGCTCAAACAAAAAGGTTGACGAACAATAAATATCAATGGCATTCATTCAAGCATTCAAATGCCTTGGCTAACATATACAACTCGCATTTTAAAAATTTTAAAATCGTATTCGGAAGAATTTGTAATGTATCAGCTGCTTTATTTAGATTTTTTTTTTGGTCAATGGCATTTGAAAGAAGAAAGCGGAAGGCATGTGCGTCATTCCAAAACGCAATCTATGACGTGTCTCATGAGGAGAAATGTTCTGTTTGAATTAATTTTCTCGATTTTTGGCATTTATATTGAAATTTTCACCACTACATCTGTGGCACGTCCTTCAGCTACATCGATCGATTGGACATACAATTGTAGTATAAAATGAATTGGCGACATGGATAGAAACAATAACCACTGTAGCTGAAAGGTGGCCGCGAGCCTAATGACACTTCCTTAGTGAATTGAGGATTCTCGGAATACCAACTAGAAACCAAGCCTGTCGATCTATCCCAGCTCTCCGTAGGATTCTTCCTCTGATTTGTATTTTCACGTCAAGCGCATATACACATATATTGAAAAAAATCAGAGAAACCACTAGAAACACAAATGTTATAGTGATTCCGTGAGCCGTGTACTTTCTTGGAACCTTCAGTTCTTGATCCGATGAAAATGCAAAATATAACAGTAAGCATAAAAAATTGCAAAACGGTAAAATTCTGTATAAAACTATCTTTTCAGCGAATTGGGACGATTCTTTCAATGATCCGAATGTAGTTGAAAATGTCCATCACTCTACACTTTCATATCGTTTACTATTCGCTTACTATTCCCCAATAAAGTAGCAATGAAGACAATGAAGCAGAAAATTCGGCAAAGCAATACTAGTTAGTACACAGTGTCAATGCTTTTCAAAGAGACGACAGTAATTGTCTAGTACTCCTCCCTTAGAACTTTTTATTCATACGTACAAATAAAAAGAAGGCATTATAATAGGGGTGACGTAATCGATAGGAAGCGTCGGTGACTAAAATTAGAATGATTTTCAGAAGAAGGTAGGAATGCTCCTGAATCCTTGTTGGAAATGTGAAATATAATGACTTCGTAGCATTATTTACTTCCTTGACGAGATACGCCACGTAACTGATTTTCATTCAGAATTTCGGTTATTCTTGAATCTACATTTGACCTAATACAGGGACTTCCGGAAGCCTATTTAAATGGACCTCAGCGTTCTCATCAAGGCAAGGTCGCACTTATTGTTTATATAATCCGAAAAAGGAATAAGGTAGGCTGGCTTGGGTGAGATATGAACAAGGAAAGAGACCTCTCCTAACAACAGGAGTAAAGGAAATTTCCAGACAAATCAATATCTATTAATCACAGAGTAAATACAAAACTCACCGATTACAGAAGTCGTATGGGGATGTACTGAACTAATTTGTGTCTTAATGGGAAATAGATAAACATATGAATAGACCAACCCCCTCACCCTTTCTTGCTTTACCAATTGATTTCCTACTGTATGACGTGTTTTGTCATAAATTCGTTATCGCACAACAGGAATTCCTCTGGAACAGGATCAATCTCAATTCGTTTTTCGGCTTTCAGGCTTTGAAGAAGGCGAAGAGGCCGAAATTAAGCTGGATGAAGTTGTAAATCTTGGAAAGGCTTAAAACAAACAGCACAAAAGACAAGGACTCCTCGGAAAATAATTTAAAGGAAGTTTCTTAAAAAATCGTAGATCATCGAAAGTTGAGAGCCGGAAGAGTTGCGAGGTAACAAGAAAAACAAGAAATAAAATTTGTGTACCAAATTGGTAAATATTACATGTTATAGGTGTCACTGGGGCCTGAATACTCTTTCACGTGAAAGCAAACAATTCCAAGTATCACGGAATTTTGATAAGCCGTTTTTACAGCAGACATTTCATTGAACTGTCACATCTCGACATGTTTTTACTTCGGGGAATCCCTTGGAAGTATGTTTGTTATTGAATTTACTACTAAACAAAACTGTTGAAAAACGTCGGGAAGCGAAAAAACTCCTGCAAAACTTTCTACTTCTCAGTTCTACAAAGATTGAGACAAATCAACTGAGCCCGAAGTCCTGATTTGAGTCAAGATTTGTTTCAAATATTTACACTGTGAAGAATTGGGCGGAAGTGATGCAGTGGTAAAAAGCGCATTATCACACGCATATGGTTAGAGGACCGAATCCCAGGACTAATATTCGTTGCTGGCATCCAAAACTTTCCCACACCTATGGCAGGGGTTATCTGGTGCAAGGCTAATTGTTGGAGGATCAAAGTACTGATTTGTACATCAGTGTGCACTGGCTGCAAGTCACTGAATAGGTCCCATACTCCTTCGAAGCGCCACTACGATTCTGAGGGGAAGTCAAAAGCTGTGGCGCATCTCCGAAAGGAAGTCAAAAGCTGTGGCGCATCTCCGAAAGGGAATAAATCAGCGCCAAAAATTTTATCCCCATTTTTAAATTCACTCGCTTTTGGGAGCTGTCGGGACGTCTAGGGTTTTTGCTAGAGGACAGCCATTGTTCACGCTAAAGGCGCACTTTCTCCTTTGTAGGCAGCAGATGCTGATGGAAGGCTGCATCGGCATTTTGCGCTTCAATAGAGCGCTTATGCAAGCTTTCAACCGCCGATTCCCGATTTTGCATAACAATTAGTCCTCCGCAAAATCTCATCATGAAGATTTTCTTTCTTGGAAATACTAGAAAAAAACCCTAAAGAAAGGGATAACTCAAGGGGTTCCAATAGGCCGTTTTTTACTGCACCCATTCCATCGAATTGTAACACTTCAACATATTTTTATTTCAAGGAATCCCTCGACAGTAAAATTGTTTATTCTTGAATTTACTGTTAAACAAAGCTGTCAAATAGCAGTACCTGACAAGTTCATATCGTGAAAGGCAACAGTTTGCCCTTCAAGGGGACATTACTGCAAAGCATGTGACCCCTATCCTATTTCCCAACTGCAACTATAAAAAACCTAACACTTGAAAAGGGAAAAAAGTTGACGGATCCGTAAATTTGATCGTTTCTCTGGTTTGAAAAGCACCAGCGTAAGCCCTTTAAGTAGTAACGTCTGCTTTTTTGCGATTTTTCACCGTTTCATTCCATTCCTTTCATTCCAACCCCTTCAACTTTCAACAACCCTACCGTAAAAAAGCGTTAATATATGCCCGCTCGGTCGAAACATGTGATGCAGGAAACGATCAGGTTAGGGACAATGCGGAAAGAGGGACATTACCATATTTTACAAAATTAGATGGTACTCAAATTGTTTCCGTTGGAACTTTCTTTCAAGGGGTATCAGATAGCCATGACTTCGAACATGCCATTCGTCTTTTGTCCGTATGGACCTAGTTGACGTCAGCTTGCCGTTTCCCCCGAACTTTATTAAATATTTATCAGTCTCGGCTGCATGCAACCTATTGTCCGGGTTTCAAAAAAACCAAAATCATTAATAATAAATACTGTAACTACATAAAATCGAATATGTAACTGTCAGTAGATGTCCTTTTCAAAAATACTAGTTTGGTTTTTATTTCCAACCACACCATTATTATTCAGTAGATGTCCTTTTCAAAAATACTAGTTTGGTTTTTATTTCCAACCACACCATTATTATTTTTATTTTCGCTTTTTATATGAATTTCAAGGGGAATATTCAGAAAAAGATGTATATATACTGTAAGATATGATACCGACTTGGCTTCAGACGGATGCGACGCCAGAAATGACTATCCTACTGATGACCAGGTCCACTAATTACCCCTCTCATGAAATTCCAGGAAAAATTACTGTTGCCAGCCCGTCGGACGTGGTGACAGAAGTCTAAAACGGGAAGGTAATTGAACAGAAGGTTTAAAAGGTCTCACCTTGAGAAACGGGCTGTCACGAACGGAAAATGTCGGCTGCTCCATTTTTCGCAGTGTATGTGACAGGATTGAAAAATTGTGATGAATTCACTACTGGTAATGCCGGAATAACGCACCCACGCCACGATCTGTTCAGACTCGTCAGCACTCTTCTTGAACTACCACAAGTAGTGGCCGTAGGACCTGGAAAATAGTTGCTCACCCGCTGTGGTTCATCATCAGAATGGAAACAGAAGGTTATTTTCGCAGCACTGGTACAAAATAATAATGAAGGAAGGCAAGGTTCTCATGCAATATGAACAGCTAAAAATCCAATAAAATCGATCACGATCCTGCGAACAAGGATTAAAGATCATTACAAATCTGGTCTCCCTGGGAACTGAACTTTTGACATCTCAGAAATAGTGAGGACATACTGGATATAGATTCTTCAGGCAAAAGCACCGGAAATAAACACTATTAGTCTCCCGCAACTTATAAAATCTCGCGCAAAAAGCCTCGCACGGTTGCTCCGCCCCCAGCGACCTCAACGATCAGATAGCCCCGCCTAAGATATATTGTGCCACCGATGAATTCTTTCTAATCTTCTGGAAAAACTTTCTACGCAAATGACGAGGTGTACGCCCAGAGAACACCTTGGATTTACTATAAGAGCGATGCCTGCCTAACCAACGTGTTTTCGATGAATCAAAAAATTCATTAATAAGTTCAATAAAGGA